AAACTCCCCCTACGTACCTTTATTCCCTATGAATCTGGTGACATTAGCAAGGGAACGAAAGTAACGGGTTCCTTTCTGGGCACACAAAAATGTTCTATTAGTACTGAAGTCTATAACTTTTCTATAAACTTTTCAATTATAACTGACATATGAACTACTATTATAAGTATTGGTCAAGGAAAAAGCACCACCGCTTTAGCATAGAATTTTTAAAACTTCACGATCAAATCAAAGTGTTGCCTTCTGTCTTTTCAATGTCTGTCCATATATATATAGCTAGTTTTGAATTTCATTCGAAATGTCAAACTTGTAAGTTGTAAGACAATTATGGAACACTCTTTACGTCAACGGTTTTGTACACTGATTTTGTAACATTTTCCGTTCTGTTCTGACTCCTAATTTTGTTGAACCGTTTTCCCCTTCTTGCATATACAAACGAGGTCTTTGTATTCTATATTCGATTCACATTTTATTTAGATAGTTTGTACATGTAATGTTAAAGGCATCCAATGCAGTTTTTAGGGTTTCGAAACCCAATTTTTCAACACCAATATTCTATTCATTGAACTACATACTGAGTTGTTTTAATATACCAGTACTCTATCCCAATGTACATGTATGTTGACCCTCATGGAGCCAAAATTCCCAAAAGTCTTATGGAAAATGGTTACTGGAAGGGCCCTGGGCTGATGTTTAGCTATAGGGTAACAGTTACCACCCAGAAAATCAAGGACTCATCATCTTCAGTTTTAAAAGCCCAAAGTATGAAATACTGACTCGAATATGCTAAGGTGAAGCAGTATGTGTCAATATCACAAAGATTGCCATATTCAGAATATTTCCTGTTTTGCTGCCCTGAAATCTGCTTGGAGATCAGGAAGAACGCTCAGTTCCCGGTTCGTAATGCTGATTTGGAGGTTTCCAGTACTGAAGTCGCCTCAGATCTGGACGTACAGTACTGACCAAACTTGAAAGCCCAGTTCGCGGAAGGAACCCTCAGTACGGGACAATGAGTACTTAAAGAGGAACCCGTTACGTCGGTACTTTTGCGTGACAAAATATGCTTCATGGAAATGTTGCCATGTAGAAACACCCCCTTTAGGATAATGGTTTGATCCGATGTGTACGCATGTGTACTGCGCAGTTGGTTTGAGAGAACAAAGAATACACTCAGTTGTCTCTATGCTCTGGCTTCGCTGGTCGTAATTGAGTTTGAGTTTGAGTTTATTTAGATCCACAATTAGCTTAACAATTCATATTGCAGCTATTCTTCCTGTGGTCAATTAACATATACACCTGACACACATAAAATAACTTATACAGACATAAACATGTACAGAAACTCCACGAAAACACCAAGTGACAGCTACAGAAACAAAGCTAGCTTACATGACCGCCATATATCTAAAATACCTATTTACATTTCTCCAAAAGTTATTGCACATTGTTCCATGCCTCTACAATTTCATAGTGTTCCAGGTGTGTGACATCCGATACAAAAAGCGTTTTCTCTGAGCATTTGTTCTAGGTTTGGGGAGACGGATAGTTTGTGACTTTGTTGATCTGGTTTGGTATCCATGTGACTGAAACGTGATCTGTTTATACAGGGAAACAGGCTGTCTGTTCTCCATCATTTTGCGAAAAGTCAAAAGGTCTTTCTGTTGAATCCTCTCTTTCACGGGCAACCACCCCAACATCTGCAGCAAAGCGTCCTTGCTTGTGGATCTGTTGCATCCGAGGGCAAGCCTCGCAGCTCTGTTTTGTATCACTTGCAGCGGCTTTATGTTCTTCTCTGACGTACTTGCCCACACTGAACTACAGTAGTCTAGGTGGGAAAGTACCAGGGCTTGCATCAGTGCTGCCCTCTGTTTGCGCGGAAGTGATTTTCTCACCCTACCCACTTGGGCCATGCACCTGTTGCATTTCTTTACTACGTGGTCTATGTGATCGTCGAATGTGAGGCTTTGGTCCACATGAACTCCCAGAAGTTTGACGGTAGGCACTTGCTCCAAACTCTGCCCCCTGAGTTCCAGCTGTAGAGCAGGGGCAAGCCTTGTCTTCCTAGAAGTTCCCACTAGCATGGTCTTTGTTTTGCCATTGTTAAGTTTGAGCCTGTTGTAGTCCGACCATTTAGCCACACATTCTAAATCCACAAGAGCCTTGGCTTTTATGTCCTGTACGGTATGCCCTGCTGTATGTACTGTACTGTCATCTGCATACTGATCCAGTTCCCCATTTTCTACTGTTCCTGCCATGTCATTGACGTAGATACTGTAAAGTTGTGGTCCCAAACAGCTGCCTTGAGGCACTCCGCATTGTAGCACTCGTGTTTGGCTGTATGCTCCATTTGCATACACCTGCCAGTTGCGATCTGATAGGTATGACTGTATCCAGGACAGCGCATCCGCGGAAAACCCGTAGACTGCAAGCTTCTTCAGAAGCAGGGTGTGGTCCACTAAGTCGAAAGCTGCACTGTAGTCCAGCAATACCACTGAGGTCATCAGTCCCTTGTCCATATTGTCTAACCACTCATCTGTCATTTTCAGGAGGACAGTTTCCGTGGAATGACACTTCCGGTATGCATGCTGTGCTTCTGACTGATGACTGGATCCAGAGAATTGCGTTGTCATCTGGAATAGGAACTGTGATCTGGAACGAGGATTATGTTGAATATTTCGGCAAGGGCAAGTGCTTACAAAGTCTATGCATGATGAGCTTGTATGAGGGTCATGATGCAAACCAACTGCGCAGTACACATGCGTACACATCGGATCAAACCATTATCCTAAAGGGGGTGTTTCTACATGGCAAGACTGCAAGGATTGTGCGCCATGGCGACAGGAGTTGGAAACGTATTACACGGGCGATGTGATGCGGATTGGCTGGTCCAACTGTACTCCCAGCAAGTGGAGCAAGGAACCATGGGAAGTGGCAAAAGTGTTCATGCCCAAGGATCCGACAGCAGACAATACAGGTCCTGAGAAGTCAGATCCTGCAGCACTGTTGAACTTCCTTATACACTGCACATATTGTAAGAAATATGTCAGGGTTAAGTCTTCACAAAAGGTTATAGAAGTCCGCAATCAAACTATGCATTCCAAGGATCTGACATTCGACCCTCAGACATTCAACAACCACATGGACAAACTACTGAGGCTGATGGGTGATCGAAACTTGACCTCTGACCCAGCTGCACAGAAGGCAGCAGATGAGATTTTAAAGATCAAGAAATCAGAATTTCACATAGGTGCCAACAAAGCTTGCCTGGATGCCGAGATTCGTGTGTTCAGAGAGTTCATGGCAGAACAGGAGAAGTTTCTTCAGCTTCACAAGGAAGAGTTGGAGGATCATGGTACTCGACTGGACTCCCTTGAGGGAAGCATACCACCTGTGGAAGAGATTCTGAAGACATTGGGCCCCATATTGGACATTGTAAACAACAACCCTGATCTGCAACACTTCCTGAAAGACCAGGCTATGGAGCTGTTCACCATCTCACAACAGCTCCAGGACAGACTGGGTAATGTGGAAGGTGCGGTAAGTCAGCTGGAAGAGACGGTTGCTGAACATGGGGTACAGATTGACGTAAACACACGACTTCATGAGGAAATCAGCGACAAAATCAGTGACGTACAACAGAAGCTAGGTCAACTGAAGCCACCATCCAGTAGCACCAGCTTCTCATCAGATGAGCAGACCAGTGCATTTACAAGTGCCCTCACCACCAACTACAGCAACACTTTAAAGACTCTGAAGCCTTTGCCTTGGGATGATAGGTTTTGTCTTGACCTAGATAAGATTTTCACTCGTCTTTTACTGATTAGTACTAAGGGCCTTGAAGATAGGGCAGTGTTTTATAAATCACTTGATGATGTTTTTGACCACCAGCCTGAAAGTCCAGGTCTGTCCAAGAGATTCAATGTTTTGGTGGTTGGAGATGCAGGGAGTGGGAAGTCAACTCTCTTTTCTAAGACTGCCCTTGATTGGTCATGTAAGAAAGGGAGACTTGCAGATAGGAAGAAGATAGTCTTGTTGATTCGGTTAAGAGAGGTTGAGCCAGGAGAATCCATTGCAGAAATAGTGTGGGACCAGTGTGTTACAAAGTCAGCCAAGGGAATCAGCATTTCCAGTATAGAGACATGCCTCCAAGACTATGAGTCTGACCTTGTATTTCTCTTAGATGGGTATGATGAGCTGGTTCCAGATGCCAAGGGGCCAAAACAGGCTGTTCCTGAACTTCTTGCAAAGAAATGGTACCCTAATTGCATGGTCATAGTCACTTCTAGACCTTCTTCAGGTATCGAACGCTACATGGCAGTTGACTGTCGAGTTAAGGTTTTGGGCTTTTCTTCACCTCTTGTTGATAAGTATGTCCCTTTGTATTTCAAATCTGTCGGGAAGCCAGATTTAGTGGATTCACTTGTCAAAGTTCTAGATTCGAAAGCCAATATTGTAGCCAGAGGTCTGATCCAGACCCCCATGTTCCTCATGCTTATTTGTGTACTATGGGAAGAGAATCCAACCATAGTTCAATTCCCAGTGACGATGTCAGGCTTGTATCAGGAGTTACTGACATGTGTAATCAGGAAGTACTGTGTGCGAGAAGGTCTGCCTATACCTAGTAATAAGAAAGAGATTCCTTCAGAGGTATCAGCTGGACTCTGTCATCTTGGTAAACTAGCCTTAGAGTCATTGTTGAGAGGTGAAAGCCATGTTGTTCTTGAGAAAACTGCTGCCTCTCAGAATACTGATGTTTTGCTTAAACTTGGCCTTGTTTCCAAAGAGGTCTCTGCATCCAGACTACATCCTAGAGAACAGTTGAACTTCCCCCACAAGAGCATGCAGGAGTTTCTTGCAGCTAGATATTTTGCTGACAGAGTCAATACTTCCTCAGATGATCTGCATTCATTAGTTTCACTGGACACATTGTCAGCAGTTCTGCGTCGTAGGAACCTGGTGCAGTTTATTTGTGGCTGTGGGGGTAAAGTCACCAGCAAATTGCTTGAACATCTTAACAACCTATATGTAACTGAAGGTGCATCATTGTTAGTAAACATACGGAAATGGGATGATGAGGAACAGGATTATGTTGAATATTTCGGCAAGGGCAAGTGCTTACAAAGTCTATGCATGATGAGCTTGTATGAGGGTCATGATGCCCAACATTTGCCAATACTGAGCAATGTGTTTTCATCTCTAGACTTGTATATCAATGTTACCCTACCAATCCTCGTTCCAGATCACAGTTCCTATTCCAGATGACAACGCAATTACGACCAGTGAAGCCAGAGCATAGAGACGACTGAGTGTATTCTTTGTTCTCTCAAACCAACTGCGCAGTACACATGCGTACACATCGGATCAAACCATTATCCTAAAGGGGGTGTTTCTTCGTTACTCCAGGAATTACCGAGGGTCTTACGTCGCCATCAGGAGCACGGGTGCAAGCTTAAACCAAAGAAGTGCATCATGTTCAGGCGGCAAGTGAGATACGTGGGGAAATTAGTAACTGCTGAGGGCTACACCATGGACCCCGAGGACATGGCAGCTGTCAATGCGCTGAAGGAGAAAACACCTACCACAGTAGGGGATGTGCGGAAGCTGCTGGGATTCCTTGGGTACTACCGGACATACATTAAAAACTTCAGTCAGATTGCCAAGCCCCTGTATGATTTGCTGTCAAATCATGCCCCAAAACAACCAATCAAGTGGACAGAAGACCACCAGAGAATACTCTGCCAACTCACGGAACAGCTGACTAGCCCACCAGTGATGGCATACCCAGATTTCGAGCGACCCTTTGTACTGCACACTGATGCATCAGCTCAGGGTCTCGGTGCTGTATTGTATCAACAAAATGAAGGGAAGCTGCGGGTAATAGCCTATGGATCGAGGACCCTGACTCAGGCGGAGAAGAACTACCACCTCCATTCAGGGAAGCTCGAGTTTCTCGCCTTGAAGTGGGCTGTCACTGAAAAGTTCCGGGACTATCTGTACTACGCACCGTCGTTCGAAGTGTATACCGACAATAACCCCCTTACCTACGTTCTGAGTACGGCCAAGTTGAATGCGACAGGTCACCGATGGGTGGCAGAGTTGGCGGACTATAACTTCAGCATCAAGTACCGACCTGGGAAAGCCAATGCATACGCAGATGTGCTGTCAAGAGTACCACGTCCAAGTCCAGGAGATGCTGAGCGGTTTATGGCTACCTGCACAGAAGAAGTGAGTGGTGATGTACTGAGTGCCACCACCCAGGCCATGCAGGCAGTTGATCAAGGAGATGCCACATGGATAAGTGCTATCACTACGAACATTGACAGTCTACCACCTGAAGACAAGAGTGCAAGTATGGGACCATTGAGCAAGAAGGAGATCGGTGAAGCGCAACGTCGAGACTCAGCCATTAGAAAAGTAATTGAACTGAAAGAAGAAGGGAGGAATCCCACTACCCGAGAGAGGCAAGACAACTCATTCGGTACAAGAGAGTACATGCGGGAGTGGAAAAGGCTTCAGATCGATGATGAGGGCATTCTCCGCCGGAGAGCTGGTCCAGTTCTGCAAATAGTGCTTCCAAAGGACTATAGAAACGTTGTGTACCAAGAACTACATGACAAAATGGGCCATCTGGGAGCAGACAGGGTTGTCAGCCTGGCAAGACAACGGTTCTACTGGCCAAAGATGCAGAGAGACATAGTTGAATACTGCACCTCCAAGTGTCAGTGCATTAAGCGCCGGAAGCCAAACATTCCAGACAAAGCTCCACTTACTAACATCATCACCACTGAGCCGCTACAACTGGTGTCTATTGACTATGTCCACCTTGAAAGGAGCAAAGGTGGCTACGAGTACATTCTGGTGGTTGTGGACCATTTCACACGGTTTGCTCAAGCATATGCCACCAGGAATAAGGCAGGGAGAACAGCAGCAGAGAAGCTCTTCAATGACTTCATTCCTAGATTCGGGTATCCTCTCAAGATTCACCATGATCAAGGAGCGGAGTTTGAAAACAGGTTGTTTCAACGCCTACATCAGCTGAGTGGAGTGTCGCCCTCGAGAACAACTCCCTATCACCCCCAGGGAAACGGTCAAGTGGAGAGGTTTAATCGGACTTTGCTAGCGATGTTACGTGCTCTCCCAGAATCCCAGAAGACAGATTGGAAGGCATCTCTTAACAAGGTGGTTCATGCGTACAACTGCACCCGACATGAGAGCACCGGTTACTCTCCCCACTTCCTGTTGTATGGACATCACCCCCGACTGCCAGTGGACCTTATGTTTGGGATTGAAGACAAGGAGCATGAGGTTCAATCATATCCTGAGTATGTCAAGAGATGGAAAAGGGGCATGCAGGAGGCCTACAGGATTGCGAGTCAGCAGGCCAGGAAAACAAGTGGAAAAGGGACGGAACAGTACGACAGAAAGGTGCACGGTCTCAGTCTGTCCAGTGGTGACCGGGTCCTTGTTAGAAATATGACGGACCGAGGAGGACCGGGCAAGTTGCGTTCCCACTGGGAGGACAAAATCCACATCGTTGTGAAGCAAAAGGGGAAAGATATCCCCGTGTATGAGGTACGCCCAGAGTGCCAAGAGGGAAGATCACGAGTGTTGCATAGAAATATGTTACTCCCATGCGAGGGACTGCCCCTAGAGGTCCCAGTTCCCAAACAGAGTAGAAGGAGAACACCTCAAGAGGAGGAGGAGAGAGGTAGTGAGAAAGAAGAAGCTGTGCCCAGCAGAGTAGAAGAAGATGAAGAGGCTGAACCTGAGAACCAGTCAGAAGCTGTGCCCAAGCAGGGTAGAAGAAGATGAAGAGGCTGAACCTGAGAGCCAGTCAGGAGGCTCAGACAGCGATAGTGACAGCGAGAAAGAAGAATCTGCACTAAGTGGAGTTGAAGTTGAACATGATCAGCAGTTCAGTGGATCCCAAGATGGGGAGAGGTACCAGAACTACGATAGGCCGAGACGAAACAGGAGACCCCCACAGACTTTAACATATGATAATGTAGGTGAAGACCCTGCTTATGTAAGAGTTCCGGCCGTAAACACAGTAGGGGCATGGCCCCAGTACACGGGGAATATGGGGTTGTGGCAACCCGGACAATTGTTTCATAGCTGTCCCCATTGCAGGCACCTCATTCCGGTGGTTCGCATGTATCTATAACCAAGAGACTGATGAATTCAAGCTATATGGACTCTGGTCTAGAACAATCAGTGAATTGTCGGAGCTAATCGTAGTTAGCCGTGAAGTCTGAAGTTAGCTAGAAAGGGACAGTTGTAAATGCATGATATGAGTATGAGGAATACGTCAAGCAGTAATCAACTGTGTGAGGTCGAGATGACCTCTAGAGCAAAGAAACAGCTGTGCAGTAAGAAAGGTCATCATGACCTCTAAGTGACAAAAAGTAATGAGAGTCGAAGGAGATATAAACTAGCTGAGTTTATAGACTTAGGAGTTAAGCAGTAACAATAAGGAGTTTATCTCAAGTTAATTCAAGATGTTATAAGTGCCAAATGAGAGACAAAAGGAAAGGACTAACACGATGTAGGGTAGATGCTAATGTTTATTATTATTTATACTCTTAGTTACACTGTTATTCCCTAAGTTTAACATTTCATGATGCCTGTAGCTGGAGGAAATGAGTTACCTTATAGTATCAAGTTCCCAGTTTAACAGTTCTACGTGTTATTTACAATAGTTTAATAGTTATTGTCAAATGTCGGGACGACATCTCAGCCAGCGGGGGCGTGTGTTGCCATGTAGAAACACCCCCTTTAGGATAATGGTTTGATCCGATGTGTACGCATGTGTACTGCGCAGTTGGTTTGAGAGAACAAAGAATACACTCAGTCGTCTCTATGCTCTGGCTTCGCTGGTCGTAATTGCGTTGTCATCTGGAATAGGAACTGTGATCTGGAACAAGGATTGGTAGGGTAACATTTGGAGGTTCTACTGTTCTTTCCCTTCCAGGTAAGTCCGAAGAGGTGACCCGGCTGGTATCGCCCTGATTACTGCGTCTACCACCTCCTCCTCTGTATATCCCTGCCTCAAACCACTCTTGATTTGATATGTGAGGGACTGAAATCTCAGCTGCCCCACCTGTCCTGTTATCTTGAACTCCTTCCTATTGGTCATTGCTGGTGTTCCCTTACTGTCACCAATCTTCCATGTGGATTTTCTCAATGACTTGCTCTCTGTCGGAAAGAGTTTCCTTCCTTACCGTGTTGGTATCACTCCCACTCGGTGTCTCTAGGCTCGTCACTCGCTCCCCCAATCTCTCAACTGCACTACAACATTCTGTGACAATGTTTGTTAACTGTGTGGTTGCCGCCACCAAGTCTGGCATTGCCAACTCTGGCGTCTGGGTCGTTTTAACTATGCCCTGACTTGTTTCACTTGTTGTCTGGCCAGTCTGGGTCGTATCAACTGTGTTCTGAGTCGTTGCTCCCTGCAACGCGAACCCTGGCGTCTTGATCATTTCACCTAGACTGGAGTAGAGTAGATCAACTGGGCTTGTCCCTTCCGCCATACCTGTACTACTGACACTCGTTCAACACCAACAACTACGGCCGCCGTCCCCCTTGCTAGTTCCGTCGGATGGGCGCCGCCATCTTGTTTTACAAGAAATTGACCTCTAACCTTCTGTCACGTGATCGTTTTAGCGCCAAACTTTTTCTCTCTCCCTCCGGCGGCAGTGGCAGTTTCTTCGTCGCAATCGCTTCATCCGCTTCGTTACTCCAGGAACTCCCTATTTGATGTGGGCCCTGTGAGTACTGGCACTGAGGATAAGTGTGGCAGCTCCAGGGATGTCGGACTCGGAAGATTCGAGGACGAATCTTGAAAGAAAAGGGGGAGTAGTGTAACAGTGGGGTTTATCCTCCGCTAACTGACCATGCTAAATGGTCGTGCAACCTTTTAGTGTAGTGGTTAGCGTTGGTGACCGCCAAGCGGACAACTCGGGTTCGATTCCCGGTTGTGACCTGCTCGCCCCTTTCGGTTTTTACAGTGTAACAGTGGGGTTTATCCTCCGCTAACTGACCATGCTAAATGGTCGTGCGACCTTTTAGTGTAGTGGTTAGCGTTGGTGACCGCCAAGCGGACAAC